ACTCAAAATTTTCTACTACATCTGTGTGCTTTTATTCCAATACATTATGCTCATGCCTTATGCTTGAAAACTTTTTTTTTTTTTAACTTTTTATAGCTTGCATGCATTTTTTTAAAAAGAAAATAATTCATCATATGTGAAATTACATACCTAATCACTTTCTATGTCACCCGCGTTGTCTTTAACCACTAAGCATAACTTTGTGAAATCTTCCTTAACTTCTGTCTCAGATGATTTAGAATTTAAATTTTCCCAAAAGGCTCTTTGAAGTTTTCTTTTATTTTTCTCATTATCAGATTTGTCCTCAACACTTTACTTTGATGATTGAGTTTTTTGATTGCGGCAAATATGACTTTATATGATCTGGCCCTTTGCATTCAAAACAAATACAATCAATAGAAACTTGATTCAGCTTGTCACCTTTCTTTCACTTGTCGGTATGCCTCCTTTGCTTCTTTCTAAGAAAATTTTTGAATTACCTAGTCAAGAAGGCTATGTTGTTCTCTTCGCCTCCTTCAGACTTACAATTATCAATATCGTTGGCCTTCAAGGCAATTGTTATCTCCTTTTCTCTTGTATCTATAGGTCTTTAGAAAATTTTATGCTCATTTCAATTAATAAACCAAGCCAATTATCAATATAGTAAGTATTCATATCTTTTGATTCTGAAATCGCCGTCAACATCGCATCTCAAGATTCGAGCAACCTTTTAAGAATCTTATTATTTTTTTTACATTATTAATTTCTTTTTTCAATGCATGCAAGGAGGTAGTAATCTTTGTAAAATGAGTATACCTATCAATAATGGTTTCACTAAGCTGCACGCTAAATAGTTAATAATTATGAAATAAAATATTTAATTTAGACTATTTAACCTCATTTATTTCTTCATACATAATACAAAATCTATCTCAGATTTTTTTTTTCTGGTGGTGCATGTAGATGGTTTGGTCACATAAAAAGGCGGCCTTCCGACGACCCGGTTAGGAGAGTAGAGGTATTAGATTTGACTTGTGTTAAGAAAGGTAGGGGTAGACCTAAAAAGACTTGGTTAGAAAATATTAGGAATGACCTTTCTTTATTAGATTTAAACGAGAATTTGGCTTTTAATAGGACACAATGGAGAAAAAGGATTCATGTAGCCGACCCCACGTAGTGGGATAAAGGCTTGATGTTGTTGTTGTTGTTGTTGTTGTTGGTGGTGCATGTAGATACACACATATAGTTTTCAGATTTGAGTGTACAAGAGATGCACACATATAGTTTTCAGATTTGAGTGTACAAGAGATACAATTTAAATATTTAACATTTAATTATGCAAATTTTTTATCCTTTAGACTTCATTCAGTAAAAGGTATTTCAATCTTAATGACATTTACTATTTAATAGGGTGGTGATTCGATTTGTTCTAATTCAATTGCTTGCTTAACAAATTAAAATATGCAAATTCATTATAGTATAATTAATTCAAATTTTAAATTTCATATTTGCCTATTTTGAAAATCCAAAATTTCAAGATGGTATCTATCAAAACAACTTATCGTCATGTACAATCATGGTCGTTCGTCATGATTAGGTGTGCTAAATTTTAATTTTATCAAACACTTAATTTAATTTCTATTATAACTGACCTTACAGTACGACCCAACAAACAAATTAAATATTCAACCTCTTATCCCCACTCATGAATGTGTGTTTGGTTGTCTTCGTAACATACACCTAAATATAAAAAGACTCAATAAAAGAAAATACGGACTCGTATTACATATTTGACCTTTCTAAAAATTGCAATTCTTGAGCTATATCTTTTTAACTTGGCTTTTTGTATCTTGTGTGCTGCTATAGTCCTTATACTATTCCTAAAATGTTAGTAGCAAAAAAAAAAGTATTTATATAATACATAGAATAATAAATGATCTTTTTAATACTTTTTGAAATTATCAAAACAACAGATTGGAGTCTCGGTTTTAAAATAAAAAACACTCAAACTTGGGTTGCAAGAGGTTCAATAGAATAGTTAAAATGTAGTTTCCTCCTTATCATACAGATTTGTAGCCCTTCCACATATATTCTCGTGGGAAGAGTCTTGAGTAATCAAATTATATTGATAGCATAATGAGAACATGACAAGAATTAATAAGGCCCATATTATATCCTCCAACCAAATGTAAATTGCCAATGAATATGCAAATAACCTCCATTCGAGGACGACTAGAAGAACTTCCCAACAAGAGAGTGGGAAAAGGGTGAGAATCTAACTGAGACATCTTTTTAGATAATATGAAATCTCATTTGCCTTGAAAGGAGGAGGTTACTTGTGGTGTGCAGTTCCAGGTCAGGTTGGAAATGGGATGGGTGGGAAAATGAGAAGAGTTAGAACAAGGACCATGACCTTTATGCCCCTAACAACCTCAAAAAATTATTAGGGAGTGCAAGGTAATAAAAATCCCAAAAAGAAAGAAGGCCTAGGAGTGGGATTAGCTACAGGAGAAACATCATAATGTTATTGACTCGGAGGAGTTGTATGCGAAATGGTTGCCAAAGAATATCCGAGTCTAGAGGGAGTAAGCATGTATGATTTTAGGCACAATAAGCCAAGCAGAAGTTGAACATAAGTGGGTGAGACCTAAATAACAATGGCACCATCGTAAGTGCCAAACTATGTATAACATACACCTGCACCAAGGTGAAAATGCTCCTTACCAGAGTTGCAAGCACTGTATAGAGCAAGCAGGTGCACACAGGCAGAACAACAACCCTTAATCCAAATATGTGACAACAATAAAACATGTGCAGGTGGATGCGATTGCAAGCAAAAGCATGCTCTGGAGCATGCACTCGATGTTACAAGTGTTCAAGAAGCTTTAGCATGCAAGAAGAGCCTCAAGTTCACTAGAGCAATGAGTGCGTATGAGAGTAGTGAGCAATTTTAAGGCAATATGCTAGTGAGTGCACTTGAAATGCACTGATGCATTAGGAAGAGGGCAAGAGAGCACACGTGTGTGCATTGACGTGCAACGAAGGACAAAAGAGGCTACAGTGTTGCTAATATGAGGCAAGCATGAACCTCATGAAAGATCCTTTCTACGGTCAGTTAACTAAAAAATATATGGATTGAAGTTGTGCAAATTAATTTATGCAAATTAGGGTTATCACATCTTTCAAAGCTTGATAGGAGTGAATCTTGAGCGAGGATGTACTAAGCTTGACCAAAAAATATAGGGGATTGCTTTATTGTGTTCGATTCAAAGTTGATGAAGTTACTTATTATTTATTTTTGTCTACAAATCTATTGCAAAATAAAGGGTTTTAAAACCCATTTCTATGAACCAAATGACTAGTGGAGAGGGGGAGGGGAAGGTTGCTATGATGCAAAATTGTTCGAGGAAAAAGATAAAAGAGAGAATAGAAGGGAAAAAAACAAAATAGAACCATGCATATACAATTTGGAAAGGGGATAAAGAGGACTTTCTCTACACAACTTGGAGTGACTAATACACAACTTGATTCTAGAAAAAAACTCTCAATTGGCTTCATAAAATTTCTTTTAACATAATCTATTTTTGTCCTATTGTCCCTATTTATAAAGTGACAAAACCTTCAAGATATGATGAAATCCATAGCAGTTAAATAAGGATGAGGTTTCCCCTATTTTTATTATATTAAAAAATTAAAATTAAATATATAAAATTGGACCCTGCTAAGTATGGGCTAAAAGGTATTGAAAATTGATCCCGTGAACTATTTTGTTACCCGTTTGACTTCTTTTGGTTGATTTATGAAAATGTGATCTATTATGGAATAAGCTAGCTGTTTTGTGCTACATTAATGACATGGAGAGAAAGTATGCTAATGTATTTTTTTATGCATTAATTTTTTGACTGTAATGAAACATTTAATTTCAAAAAATATTTGTCTAAAGCAACATTCATTTCTATTAAGGTTTCATTTGTTAATAATCTTTTGTATTGTCTTGTGCTCTTTCTTTTACATGGTATAGTCGATGCTACTTTTGTTGGGATAAATGAGTGGGTTCTTAAATTCACTTCCAAGTTCCTACAGCTGAGGCCATCGAACGATTACAAATATGAGCTTTTCACTGTTTCTTTTCCCCCACAAATCAAACTTGTGTTTTTGCAAATCCTATTTTTTTTTTTTTTTTAAAAAAAAAGCCAAATCCTAACAAAACAAAGCCTGAAGTAAATTGAGCCTGTTATTCACATTCTCATATGAGAACAAAATAGACAAAACAGAATAATATGACATATTTATCACTGTTAATGTACTTCTGCATGCCTAAAAAGCTCGTATTTTTGTGATCTTTACTCTTCAAGTGGCTATGCTTGAAATATTTATGACAAGTTGGCCTTGTTCTGAGATGATCTGTCAGTCTTTTCACTTGGAGATCTTAGAATAGAAGCATCTGTTAACTGATTTTATTGGCCTTACTAACTCAAGTTAATGTATAGACTAAGTTGATGAGACCATAATAGTTTGTGAAGTTAATAAACTTCAACAAGAATATTTTGAGAATGATTATTAACCATGAAGATGGAAAGTGTATAGTCATCTGAAATTTACTTATAAATTTTTTTTTACAAGTTTTTATTAAATCCAATTTAGGAATTGCCCAACCATGGCAATGTAAATGTTTATCATAAAAATACTTTTAGGTTGCTTTGCATACAATTTCTAAGTTGAAAGAAGAGATAAACATATTTTTTTAACATTACCGAAAGGTGTATATCAGCAGTGAACAACAGGAGTCAGTTTACCTATTAATGTTATACTGTTAAATGTTGGCAGGAATAGGCTGGGTTTGGTATGATCGTATTTGTCTTGAAAGATTGTGTTATCTTGTCCGCTCCCATTATTGCTTTATTTGGTACTTGTTTATGAACTATTACGTTTGTTTCTTTAGTTTCTGAGAATAAGTGCTTAATTTTACTGAACAGTGATTAATTTTGATGTTTGACATCATTCTACTTGAACTTGTGCAGATTGTTGATAACTGGGAGAAAAACAAACCATGGCTTCCAAAAAGTAGAGTTGATGAGGTCAGTACTTCAAGTGTTGAAATGTTACAAATCTACTGTTGTCTAAAAACAAGTTCGAACTACCCCACTTACCTCCCCATCTGTTTCAAAAATAAACCTCCCACATTCAAAAGATTTGCAGCAATGTGCATGCCCGCCACCCATACAACATAAACCACCTTATCCTATTGAGCGAATGAGCGCATTGTTCTAACCAATTTCATTTCTTAAAATAAATTACTCTTAGATTCTGAGTGATGCTGACAAAGTCAAAATCTGGTTACAAGATAAGGAGGCCCTCCAAAAAGAGTGAGTAGTACTTGAATCTCGAATCTTCTATTTAGAATGATAGTTGCTAAAATATTTTAGTCTTGTTAGCCAAACTTTTGATTAATAACAATTTTTTTTTTGGCATATTTTTTTATTAATATTGACATGGTAGAAACTTCATGATATCATTTTAGTCTTAAATATTTTGCATGCCTACTATTCTGATTGCTCGGACTGCTATAAAGTAGTGGTTTTATTCATCCTAGAAATAATATGTTTATTGTCAGACCATCCATCAATTAGAAATAGGAGTTTTAAAATATAAGTAGGAATGTTGCAGACTTGTAGCAGCTATACTCAGGAAGTTTTGGGCTAGTGAAAAGATGGTGTAGACAAATATAAAGCAGTAAATTGAGTTGTTTGTGCAATGAAGTGAGTTTGATTGTGTTGCCACCTGTTACCTAAGTTATAGTCTATTTTTCTATGTTCCTCTGATTTTTTTTAAATACGCATCATATGGAACTGTCACTTATTTCTTAAAACGCAACTCAACTGCCACGGTGAACAGTTCATGTTATGTTTCTGCCCCCATCCTTGATATCTACGTTGCTCAAGCTTTTACCATAGTGCTTTTCTTCACAACTCTAAATTCCAAGCGCCACACCCCAAAACAGCATGACAACCATGTCAAATGCTCTGGTCGTTCATGCCCTGATCTATAAATAAAGTATTGAGCCTCCCAACCTCTGTATTCTTGAAGCAAATAAGTAGGACATGCATATCATATGCCGTGTCAATGCCATGATCTACCTGACGATCAACAAATGCCAAATGAGGTAAAGGTTAACAGCTTCAATCTTTAGTTAGGAGCTTGTTTCATTGTTGTAAATGGAAACATGAATTGCTTCATTATGGGTTGTGGCAACTGATGAGGAGTTGCATCTGCATCAAATCTACAATGTGGTATAGCTCCTATCTGCTGCTTCTTATCTTTAGCTCTACATTGCTTAGTCTTCTTACCACTCTCTACTTACATGCATATCTACATGGCGCTATCACCTCACCCTACTGGAACTGCAGCAATGCTGCTTTCAAGAGATTTCCTTAACTATTTCTTTAAATACACATGACTAATTATAGAGGAAAATTTTCTTTAGACATCTAAAATGGCCATGCAACACAGATAAGGAGTTTTTCAATTGTTGTTGTTGGATTTAGTTTTAAGAACTTGATAGGGAGTCTAAAGTTTTTTTTTTTTTTAGGTGCTGCATTAAATTAATCAATCAGCAATTTCTATTTTCCTTTTTTACATCATCATGAAGGGATGATTAAATATTTTTCAATTTGAGCTTACGTGAATTAATGAATTTTTTGCTGTCAAAATCCGTTTGCGGGTTATCTCATGATCTGCTAAGTTATTTCTGCCCCCGCCCCCACCCGGAAGAGTTTGTTTAGAATTCCGTCTTGTAGCCAAGCTCCACTTGACTAAAATTTTTGCAGGACTTCTCACTTCATTAAACCGGCCATCACATCAGAAGAGATATATGACAAGGTTTCCGAACTTCAGGACAAGGTAAATTTAAATTATTCCTTATAGCAGCAATATTGTGGTTATCTTAATCAGAGTGATATATGATTACCTTCATTTATGCAGATATCTAGTGTCAACAGAATTCCAAAACCCAAACCAAAAGTTGAGAAAGCTCCGAAGGAGGAAGAATCAACAAGCAAAGAAAACTCTACTAATGCATCTAACTCGAATTCAGATGAGAATTCCACTCAGAAGGATCAATCCACAGAAGAATCATCAAGTTCCCCCAGCACCAACGTAGAACCTGAGCTTCATGATGAATTGTAACCGAATGAAGCTATAAGCAATGCTGTTTCATATAAACAGTGCGACAACATCTCTGATGAACATGGCCACGGCAAGTATTCTTGGAGTTTACGAGAGCCAATACAGGATCTTCGGAATGTTTTTATTTTCTACTTTTCTTATTATTGATTTGAGATAATCACCAGAGTTATAGGTAGAATTAGGTCCTGCAAACAGAAGTTTTGGTAGGCTTAAAAAGGTTTTGAGTTTAGACTCCCGCATTGGCGCACACCCAGACATTAAGCACAACCTTTTTTTAATATTCAAGATGTCAGATTTCAGATTATACTATAAGCATGTTAAACGTGTTCATTCATATTTCACCAGTAAGCTCTGTGGTGTTAACATTTACGATTTTATCAGCAGATAAAACATTTTACCTTTATATCTTAATTATTTATTAGTAATGACACACAACTAAAAATTGTTCTGATTGAGCATGAATCTCTAGGCATATTTAAATTAAAACTTTCAAAATTAAATTTGGGATCATTTGAACTTTGATTTCAACAAAATTTTAGGCAGATTGAATATCTCAAGGAGATGAATTCAATGACATCAAAATCGGTTCAATTCGAACCCAAATGGCATCAAATCAAAGGGATCAAAGCACATTTGAAAGGTTCAAAGCATTAATTGAATGACCAAATGATGGTCAAACATTGCATACTTATGGTTGATCGAATGGCTCGATGAGATGAATCCAAGATTGCTTAATTTTGACATTATAAAGATGCATAAATGCCTATGAAATGCTATATGATTGAAGGGGTTAATACAGGCAGTTTGATGGAGCACTCCATATTTATCCCCTACATTCTCCATATTTACATGGCATATTATTTTTAAAATTTATAAATAAACATTCACTCTCTACATGAAGGAAACCATTGACTGGAGATTCAAGAAAGCTCAGAGGCTTCAAAGATTTAGAGTTCAACCTAGATTTACCTCAGGCAAACTCCTGTTGGTCGACTTAAATACCCCCCTGCTGCCAGGCTATTATTGGACCTCCATTGGTTATTATCGATTACCGCCAAACTTCAGCCCGACCATCGTTGGACCATAATCTGGTGGTTGATCGCCTTCGAACTTCTACTCAGAAGTCTCGACCATCGTCGGACCACTACTCAGCTACTGACCTCCGCCAGACCCTACCCTTGCAGCCGACCGTCCCTAGGTTGTCACCCGACCACTAACCATTATAGGACTTTAGCCCAATCATTGGCATACCGCCCCCGAACTTTTTCCCGATCATCTATAGCTGCCTAACTTTCGTCTAACCAACATTGGACAAGCGCCCGGTTGCCAATCAATGCTAGACTTTTTCCCAACCATCTGACTACGATCTGGCCATCTAAAGTCTTCAGACTTTCGCCCGATCATCTTCCGACCTTTGTTGCTATTCTCTTATGGTCTCTCCGACCACCGTCGCCTGTTGATTACGGTCATCACGACCACCCTTTGACCTCCATCTTCAATTATGCTCTTTTGACCTCCATCACCTATCGAATATGATCCCTCCTACCTCTGTCTCCTCCTGATTACGGTCCCTCGTATCTTAGTCTCGTGTTGAATATGTCCCTTTGTATTATGGTACACATCGACTACAGTCGCTTAGACCTCCGTCGCTCGTTAACTATAATCCCTCTGACCTCCTGTACCCATCGACTACAGTCCCTCTTGTCACGACCCAACTCGATCGGAACGAATCCCATCATATTGAGTCGCGACGGATGAATCTAGGATATAGCTTTGGAATTTATTTCAGACTTTCTTCCAATTTATAAACATACAAAAAACACAGAGCTACTACAAACTTCCAAATATACAAAGAAACTCATCTATAATTTTCTTCTCTACCATTCATCAAAATAATTATATACACTACAGTACATAGCTTTAAGCAGAAAGAACAGAACAGAAAAAGTCATGACTGTACAAAAATCAAAAGTGCAAAAATACCTATGACTTCAAATTAGATCCCGAACGGCTAGTCCACAACCTCCTTCCCTTTCTCAGAACCTGAAAACCATGAAGATAACCATAGTGAGCTAATAGCTTAGCAAGAATACACTAGCCGATCAAAATCTCCAGATTCTCACATTACAAAACAATTCCCAGAAACTTTTAAAAGAATAGTTTTTTCAGATAAACGTACAAAAGTCAAATATTGGTCATAAATCCAGATATACAAACAAAATTCAGATGATCGCACAGAAATCAAATAATCAGATTGAATTCAGATAACAGATATAGAATATATAATAATACGGGATCAAATAACAGATATAGAAGAACAGAATCAAATTCATATCACAGAATCGTTAAAATCACATTTCAGAATCACATTTCAAATTAGAATTCAAAGCATATTTCAAATCACATATCCCTGACCCAGATAGAATCTCAAAGGATTCTGGCCCCTTATGCCTCCCTTCCATGACACAAACAGAATCTCAAAGGATTCTGGCCACTTATGCCTCCCTTTGTGCTTACAGCACCAGAATATATGAGATATACAAAATTATCAGATCAAAATTCATTTTCATATTCCCGGACCCAGAGAGAATCTCAAAGGATTCTGGCCCCTCATGCCTCCCTTTCCTGATACAGATAGAATCTCAAAGGATTCTGGCCCCTTATAACTGCATTCTAATATCATTCAAATCACATCAAACATCAATTCATATCAAATTAAGAGAAATCAGATTCGTATCAGAATATCGTCAGAGAGTATAACGACAGACAATAAAAAATTCAACGGATCGGAAATTCACAATTTCAGAAAATCACCAAATTACCAGAGATAGTGTAAAACATCATTTCAAGACTTTCATTGTACTGATGATACATTTTTCAACATCCGGATAATTTTCTATCTGATAAAAACCTCGAAGAATTCAAAATATTCGGTGAAAAATTTTCAAAAAATACTCAAAACGTGTGAAATCATTATCTCAAAAACATACCAAAAGTTACGCGGTAAAGGTTTAACCAGTGCAAAGTTATACCAATTTTCGCTAACGGAAATAAAATTTTAAACAGAAAATTTGTCAAAAACCACATTTCTGAAAATTGAGATAGGCATAATGTGTCTTATCTCGAGTCGATCAACTTTCCCAACTGCGACGACGGGCGAAAACGGACCGAAGACACCCAAAACGCGGATTTCTTCCTCTTCCCTTCGTTTTCTCTCTCCTGCCCTTTCTCTCTCTTCAAAATATCTTATTATGGATACTTAAAGAACTCGATCGTCTGGACGATTTGCCCCAATCGTCCCGGGACGATCTCCTCTGGACTCCAATCGTTCAAAAGAAATTGCTTATGTCCCCGGACGGTGCCCTCAGGTTGCCTTCGTACGAACGATAATTATAATCTTCCTGGGACGATGCTCTCGGGTTGCCAATGTTTCAACTGTTCATCCCGGACGATCCTAATTTCGTTCGGACGAACCTGGAAAGAAATCTTAAATCAGACCAAAACATACAAGAAAAGAAAAGGAAGGCTTTCACAATCTCCCCACCTTAGAAAAATGTCATCCTCAACATTCCCAATATAAAATTGAGTCAAAACAGACTATGATAAAATTGTCTCATATATGATTCCTTCTCCCAAGTAGCCTCTCTGGCCATTATGAACTTCCACTGAACCTTAACCATAGGAATGTTTTTATTTCTCAGCTTTCTTACATCGAATGCCAAAATCTTTTCAGGCTCTTCTTTGTATTGTAGATTCGCCTGAACTTCAATATCATCAGCAACAAGTTTCTTTCCAGAATCAGATATCCATTTTCTTAAAGAGAATACATGAAACACATTGTATATATCAGATATTTGATCAGGCAATAACAATCTATAAGCAGAATTTCCAACCCTTTCAATGATCTCAAAAGGTCTGACATACCTTGGATTGAGTTTGCTTACTTTTCCAAATCTGCTATCACCTTTCATCAGATTGATTTTAACATACACAAAATCACCAACCTGAAATTCAACCAGTCTAGGCTTCTGATTGTAATACTTCTGTTGTCTGTCTTATGTAGATTTCAACCTTTCTTTCATCAGATTGATCTTCATTACTGTATCATCTACAAAAGCTGAACCCATCACTTATCTATCTCCCACCTCAGTCAAAGTCAAAGGAGTTCTGCACTTTCTGCCATACAGAGCTTCGTATAGTGCAATACCAATACTTGACTGATAACTATTATTATATGCAAATTCTATCAGTGGGATATGATCTTCCCATCTGCCTCCAAAATCCAGAACACATAATCTCAAAAGATCTTTTAGTACCCAATCCTTGTTGAATACCTCTCCAAAGTCTAGAAGTAAACCGGCCATCCCGATCAGATACAATCACTTTCGGCACACCATACAATCTGATAATTTCTTTAACATAAATTTGAGCTAACTTATCCACTTGATCGATCTGTCTAATCGGAAGAAAATGTGCGGATTTTGTCAACCGATCAACAACCACCCAAATAGCATCATGCCCTTGCCTTGATCTGGGGAATCCCATAGCAAAATCCATTATTACCTCTTCCCACTTCCACTTAGGGATAGGCAACGACTGCAAAAGACCTCCCGGTCGCTGATATTCTGCCTTCACTAACTGACAGGCTTCACATTTCCAAACGAATTCAACTATGTCCCTTTTCATTCTAGGCCACTAAAATAAGCTTTTCATATCTCCGTATATCTTACCACTTCCTGGATGAATAGTATAGCATGAATAATGAGTTTTGTACATAATTTCTTTCCTCATATCTCTAGACATAGGAATCCACAGCCTATTCTTACAGAAAATAATATCAGAATCAGAAATTCGTAGTTTAGGTTTCTTACTAGATTCGATCTGATCAATCAACTTCAAATATTATGTATCTTACTTCTGAGCTCCATGAATATTCTCTTCCAAAGAGGGATGAATACTCATCTGAGTTATTATTCCATAATCAGTATGAGATAACACCTCCAACTATAATCTTTTTATATCTCGTATCAGATACTCATCAGAAGTGAGCTGAACATATGATAATCAAGAATACTTCCTACTCAGAGCATCTGCCACCACATTAGCCTTACTAGGCTGATACTAAATAGTCAAATCATAGTTCTTAATCAACTCAAGCCATCTTCTTTGCCTATAATTTAGATCCTTCTGAGTGAATATATACTTCAAACTCTTATGATCCATGAAGATCTCACACCTAACGCCATACAAGTAATGATGCCAATTCTTTAAAGCAAATACAACAGCGGCCAATTCTAAATCATGCGTCGGGTAGTTCTTTTCATGTGGTTTTAACTATCTCGAAGCATAAGCTTTTACCCGAGCATGCTGCATCAAAGCACATCCCAAATCTTTCAGTGAAGCGTCACTGAAGACTTGAAATCCTTTAGTACCAGAGGGAAGTACTAACACTGGAGTAGAAGTCAAACAATCCTTCAACTTCTGAAAACTAGCTTCACCCTTCAGTGTCCAAATAAAAGCTACTGACTTCTGAGTCAATCTTGTCAGAGGTGCAGAAATCTGAGAAAATCATTTCATAAACTTTCTATAATATATAGCCATGCCCAAGAAACTACGTATATCAAACACCGTAGTAGGCCTTGGCAATTAGCAACTGCTTGAATTTTTTGGGGATCGATAGAAATACCTTCACCACTTACTATATGTTCCAGAAAAGAAATGATTTTCAGCCAGAATTCACACTTGGAGAATTTTGCATACAATTATTATCATCTCAGCGTCTCCAACACACTCCTCAAATATCTGTCATGCTCTTCCTCAGAACTAAAATATACTAGAATATCATCTATGAAGACGATCACAAATTGATCCAGATAATTTTTGAATACTCTATTCATCATGTCCATAAAAATAGCTGGTGTGTTGGTTACCCCAAATGGTATAACCAAAAACTCGTAGTGCCCATACCGAGTACTGAAAGCTGTTTTAATCACATCAGCTTCTCTCACCTTCACCTGATAGTAACCAGATCTCAAATCAATCTTTGAGAATACAGAAGACCCAGCAAGCAAATCAAACAGATCATCGATCATCGGCAATTGATACTTATTCTTGATTATAACTTTATTCAATTCTCTGTAATCAACACACATATGCATTGTACCATCCTTCTTCTTCACAAATAGAATAGGTGCACCCCAAGGAGAGACACTCGAACGGACAAATCCTCTATCCACTAACTCCTGTAGTTGAACTTTTAACTCTGCAAGTTATTTCGGTTCCATCCTGTACAGAGATTTAGATATTGAAGCTGTACCCGAAAATACATCAATACATAACTCAACATCTCTATCCGGAGGTAAACCAACCAACTAATCAGGAAATACATCCAAAAAATATTGTACAACCGGGATATTAGAAATAGAACCCGCATCTATATTCATATCCCATACTGAAGTCAGAAATGTCATACACCTCTTCTTCCACATTCTTCTTACTTCCAACACAGAAATTAAATAGAATTAAACACCTCTTAATTCTTGGAATAAAATCTTTCATCATCCATAAACAATATAACTTACTTTTTCAGACAATCAATCTGAGCCTAATGCAGACTCAGCCAATTTATACCCAAAATAACATCATACGAAGAAATCAGCAACAAAATCAAACATGCCTTCCACTTCTTTCCTGGAATTTCAATCTCACATAAACAAAACTTTCGGGCTATCAAATTATTTCCAGTGGCAAAATAACAAAAAGTGAAACAGGTAATATAACGAAAGCCAGTTGCGAAGCATCAAAATAATGCTCCGAAATAAATAAATGACTAGCTCCAAAATCAAACAAAACACGATAGGGATGTTCAGAAATATAAATTTTATCTATCACCACATCCGGAGCATCTCGAACCTCTTGCTGATTCAAACTGTACACATGTGGCCGAACTAGAGCTGGAGCTACAGAACTACTAGGCTCCCTCAGATTACCACTAAGTGGTCTCCTTGCCACAGAACCCGAGCCACCAGCTCTACCAGATGATCCTTCAGAAATAGTATAGGGAGGAGCTGTCCTCGGCCTTCCCACCGGTCTAACAAAGCTCTCTGATCTAGACTTAGATCGTCGATCAATCCGGCTTGTGGACACTCAGTTATTCGATGTCCTGACTGACCACATCTGAAACACTGACACGTCATCCTATAATACTGGCCAAAATGTCACCGTCCATAATTCTGGCATATTGGTGCCCCACTAACTAAATTAGAACTGGCCATACTGCCACTACCAGAAACTATAGAAGATACTGACTGTCCACTCCTCTTGGATTCTCCGACTACAAATCTATTTTTTCTTTCCAGAAAAACTACTGCTATATGCATCTCCACTGAATCTCTTTCTATTAGCATTTCACCGCTGCTGAGTAACCATTAGATCATTCTCAATCAGTCGAGCTCTCTCAACAAGCTCAGAGAAATTAGAAATGTGAAATAGTATCAGGGGTTGCCTCAGACTATCTCGAAGTCCCCTCAGAAATCTATGACACTCCTCAACAGAAGTACTCACCAACTGAGGAGCATATCTCGTCAAAGCAATAAACTCTGCCTCGTACTGCATAACTTTCTTGCTCCCCTGAACCAATCTCAGAAAAGTCTCCTGCATTTGCTGTCTTGCAGAAGGGGTTATAAATCAAGATCTAAACACTTCAAAAAATTCTTCCTAATAAATCAAGGAGTTTAGTTTACCTTGGAATTTCTCCTCCTGTTGGCCCATCCACCAGCGCTTTGCTTCACCATCCAACAAAAAAATTGCTAATGGTACCTTTCTATCAGGAGGACATTACATACCAGCAAAAGTATTTTCCAACCTCAATCAATCCTCAGCTGCTCTGGGCTCAACTGTGCCCTTAAACCTTGGAGGCTTTAATCTCAGAAACATTTGTAGATGTCTATATACATCTTCAGATCTAACAGCAGAAACTCTATTTTGCGTCTCGCTCATCATCTGAGCGACCAACGTATCAAACTAGGAAACTGTATCTAAACCAACTACTGGGGCAGAACTATTCACAGGAGCTGCCTGACTAGCACTCTGCCCATCAGTCATATCTGGGTCTGGCAGATCCATAATCACACAGAATTTGCAACTATACACATAAAATGAAAATAATAAAAACTCAGACAGACTGAAACTACCCCACCAAACTTATAGTTCAATTCCTAGAACTCTATGTTACAATCCAAATTCCAAAACTACTACTCTGATACCACTTTAATTTGTCACGTCCCAACCCGATCAGAACGAATCCCATTACGTTGAGTCACGACGGATGAATCCAGGATCTAGTTTTGGAATTTGATTCAGACTTTATTCTAATACATAAACATATAGAAAATACAGAGCTACTACAAACTTCTAAATATACAAAGAAACTCATATATAATTTTATTCTCTACCATTTATCAAAATAATTAATCATATACACTATAGTACATGGATTTAAATAGAAAGAACTGAACAGAAAAAGCCATGACTGTACAAAAATCAAATTAGCAAAAATACATATGACTTCAAATCAGATCCTGAATGGCTAGTCCACAACCTCCTTCCCTTTTCCAGAACCTGAAAACCATAAAGATAACCACAATGAGCTAACAACTCTGCAAGACTACACTAACCGATCAAAATCTTTAGATTTTCACATTCCAAAATAATTTCCAAAAACTTTTAAAAGAATAGTTTATTCATATAAACATACAAAAGTCAAATATTCATCATAAATCCAGATATACAAATAGAATTCAAACGATCGTACGGAATCAAATAATAGATACAGAAGAACTGAATAAAATTCATATCATAGAATCGTTCAAATCACATTTCAGAATCACATTTCAAATTAGAATTCAAAGAATATTTTAAATCATATATCCCTGACCTAGACATAATCTCAAAGGATTCTAGCCCCTTATGCCTCCCTTTATGCTTACAGCAGCACAATATATTAGATATACTGAATTATTATATCAGAATTCATTTTCATATTCTCGGACCCAGTTAGAATCTCAAAGGATTCTAGCCCCTTATGCCTCCCTTTCCTGACTCAGACAGAATCTCAAAGAATTCTGGCCCCTTATAACTCCCTTCTTCTATCATTCAAATCACATCAAATATCAATTCATATCAAATTCAGAGAAATCAGATTCGTATCAGAATATCATTAGGGAGTATAACGATAGACAATAAGAAATTCAATTGATCAGAAATTCACAGTTTCAGAAAATCACTAAATTATCAGAGATAGTATAAAACATCATTCAAGACTTTCATTATACTGATGCAACATTTTTCAACATCCAGATAATTTTCTATCCAATAAAAACCTCGCAAAATTCAAAATATATTTTGAAAAATTTTTAGAAAATACTCAAAACATATGAAATCATTATCTCAAAAACATATCAAAAGTTACGCGATAAAAGTTTAACCGGTGCAAAGTTATGCCCATTTTTCGTTAATGAAAACAAAATTTTAAACAGAAAATCCGTCAAAAACCACATTTCTGAAAATTGAGATAGGCGTAATGTGCCTTACCTCGAGTCGATAAACTTTCCCAACTACGACGACGGACGAAAACTGACCGAAGACGCCCAAAACACGAATTTCATCCTCTTCCCTTCATTTTCTCT